AGTTTATATAGTTGTCAAAAGATTGGTATCCATAATTTTCTCGTCCAGATTGAACAATGTGACCGCATGGAACAAAAAACTTTCCTCCTCTGATTGGCTGATTGCATGTGTGCGGCCGCATAGTAGAGTAACTTTTCTACCAGATAGTTTTCAATATTTTGGTCATATTTTTCTTTTCCGATATTCGATTGAGGTGATTCAAATTACGTTGGAAATCTTACTCAAAGGGCTACAAATCGTCCAGATGTATAAATCTTCAAATTCAAACTTCTTCTATTCCAAAAATGGGTCTCAAACTAAGACTGAAAATTCGAAACATAACTTTTTCGATTAAAAGTTGATATGTGATAGCACTTCCACTATATTTCATCCATTTGGCTTCTTTCTCATCCAATTGATGCCCAGCACTCTCAAATCTTCATCGTGGGATCAACACAACTTTTCAGTAATTGCACTTGACTCCTCAAACTTTGATTGTGCTTCATTTTAGTCGTTTTTCGCTTGTTTTTTCCAAATTTTCTTCACGTTTATCATTGTTGTCCTGCAAAACACAAATTACATCTAATTAAGCTATATTTTATCATCTTGTGGTCCGAATCAACTATTGAATTTGTAATTTGATCCTCAAACTTTGCATCGTGCTTCATTTTAGTCGTTTTTCGCTTGTTTTTTCCAAATTTTCTTCACGTTTATCATTGTTGTCCTGCAAAACACAAATTACATCTAATTAAGCTATATTTCATATATTTGTTAACATTCATGTTTGGGCCTACAATAAGTGTGCAAAACGCACTTATCAACCTCTACTGAATTATCTTTTTCAATTCATGGGTTTACATAATTGTAAGTCGTGGCATTGAAAGAGATGTTTCCAAAGTGGGAACTCCAGGAAATGAAAAAAAAACGGTTTCACAATTTTTTGGGAGACTCTGAATGCAACCAATTTGTTGAAGTAAATATCTAGAAAGTCTTATCTGAATTCATACATGAATGTAGAATTGGTTAAAAGATACCAATTATGTGGCTCTTTGAATTTTGTGAAAATACATTTCTTGCATTGCATCTTGCATACAGAGTTTAATATGTTTACAATCATGCTACGTGATATTATGGCAACTGCATAGAGAGTTTAATATGTTTACAAGCATGCTACATGAATATTAAGATTGACATAATATCTCGCAGCATTCTATTATTGAACAGTTTAAAATACAGTCAGCTTTTTCATCCAATCATTTATTGTCACATGCAATTATGTCAAATTTTTTGTCAAATCCTTCTGGAAAAATAACTTTATCCATATGCTTAAAAAAGACTAGGAAAACAAATATTCGAGTTCAAGATAAAGTTGATTGTTCAACGGCTGAAGATTTTTTCAAGATCTGACTTCATAATTTGTAAACATTCTTTACGTTAATTTTCTGACTATTTAGAAAAAAATATACACGTCATATCTTATTTAGGTACGATTTTAACCCTACCTATTAAAAATTAGTCGTTTCCAAGTCCCAAAAATGGAGGAGAGTTTTAATTTTTTAAAATTTAAAAAAACGAGTCAGCATGTGGATTGCTTGACTTGATCCATGAGACTTGCAAGCTAGTGGACCAAATCGAGCAAGGTTTTTAGATACGAGCCTATCTAAGCTCAAGTGTTTGAGGGCCGAGTCAGTTCAACTCGACCCATTGCACTTAAATTACTGGGAAATTTGCATTTTCATCTTTAATCTTTACAAAATGAAACGAATTCACCCAACTTTTTTTTTTTTAACATAATCCATCTCCAATCTTTCATATATGTAGTTAAACTTGTCAATCCCTCCATTTTGGCAATTAAATGACAAAAATTTCCTTCTCTTTTTAATAAAAAAATAAAAAAAATAGTAAAACAACACAAATAAGGAAAAAAAAAATACAAATTGAGTCTCATACCCTTTCAGAAAATAAAATTAAATTTTACTTAAATTAATAAAATGTATGTTAACAACTCCAAATCTATCACACTCATGGCGGAACACGCATTCAAACGGGGTGATTCTTATTAATCAAATATTTCGATTTGTAGTCACAACTCTTCACACCATTGAAAGCTTAGCCTACAGTGGCATGATTGTCAAATATAGATTAATTTGCATTCTAATGATTGCATAAAATGCACCACTCTTTTGCCTTAACCATTATTATCTTTAAGAAAAATGAATTCATTTCGTACTACATTTATATTTTTAAAAAGTTATGAGACTCTATTAACAAATTTTTTTTTTCCTTATTTTTTATTGTTTTACAATTTTATTTTATTTTTTGTTTATTTAAATGACAAATCCATCGTTTGTTGATTTGCTCCAAAGTCTAAAAGAGAATAAGGCTTCATCTGTCTCTCATTATTCCAAAACATTGTTTGCTACAATAAGATTCTCCACCACGCATTCACCCAAGAAAATATTCAACACACAAACTAATAAAGTTACTTTATATTTCAACCACACATTATCCAAAAAATACTATTCATTAATCCATTTCTTCTAGAATAATGGAAAACAAACACACACTAAATTATGCTAAAGTAAATTGAGAGTAGATTATATTTCGTAATAGTTACAACGAAAAATTGAAATCTCCCTAAGTTAATTAAAGTCCGGGAACAATTAAAAGATAGGGGGCCGAACAATCCAGCTGGTGCATCGCCGAAGGTTCAGGCCGGTCCCTGACCCTTCTTCCTGCTCAAGCTATGGTCCCTCTTCTCGAAATATTTCATCCCATCACATAGCAATCTTCTGTGCACATTAGCTCACATCCTTGTTATTGTGATATTAATCCCTTCATTTTTTGTTGTTACTATACTTATAAAAGAGTATTTTCCACTGTGAACAATGTAAAGAATCGATTGCATAATTCAGTATATGTACGAGTCGCATCTTAAAGTTGTGCAACATGTAGAGCAAGAGATCAAAGTCATCTAACGAGGAGACACAATTCTCACTTGCACATCTATTGTTGCTTTAAGTCATGCTACAAAAATGAGCTCAACGCCATCTAAAGAGCATAGCAAAGCAACAAAAAGGAAAATTTCAAACTATTGAAGTTTAAAGTCTTAGGCAAGAGCTCACCAGTTCGAGTCCCCTCAGGGCCATTGAGGTGAGTATCCGGCCGTAAATTTCAGGGTCCCGTGGAATTAGTCGAGATGCGCGCAAGCTGACCCGGACATCCACGGTTATCAAAAAAAAAAGTCTTAGGCAAGAGCAAAAACCCGTCTACAAGGCATAGCCAAAGCAATGATAAAGCAAGTTTTCAAATTCTGAAGGCTTATTGGGCGGAGGGAGGGGTGGGCTATAGCTCAGCCCTACCCCAGCCCAAAAGCAATTTTTTTTTTTAATATTTTGTTTAAATAATTGGTTTATTGTGTATCATTTCAATTTTACACTTGAGTTGTAAATAAAATTAATTGGGCTAAAATTAATATTTGGGCTCGACAAATTTTACTTTTTTTTTTTTAATTTTCCACCATGAATTTGCTTCTGAGCTGGGAATTAATTTCTGGGCTAGGCTAATTTTATTCTTTTTAGTTTTTCACCGTGAAGTTGCTTCTGAAATGATGTTATTATCAAAATAAGTAATATGCTATATATTTAATTTTATTAGTTTAAAAATATATTTGTTAGAACATTGTTATGAGTGTTCAAAAATATATTATGACCAATGTTTTAAATTTATAGAAAATGGTATATAACATTAATATATTAAAAATCAAGTGCAATTTAAGTTAAATTTGAAAATTCAATAAATGAAAGGATGAAGGTGAATATTACAATTTAATTAGTTTTGATTCAAAATCAAAATAGTCAATTAGACATATATTTGGAAAATGATTTTTGATGGATATTTTAACATTTTTTTTTATTATATCACTATCCCACACTAGAAGTTTATGAATTCATTTTTTTGATAACTGTGGATGTCCGGGCCAACTTGCGCGCACCTCGATTAGGGGAAAAATTCATAAATAAGGTGTATTCTTTACACCAATTCAAAAATAAGGTTTATAGTTTGAAACTTCAAAAATCAGGTTTTTTTTTTTTTTTAAATCTAATATAATATAATAAACCCACCCCACATGCACCACCCCCTGCTCCAGTGACTATTCCAACGACCATTCCGACCACCACTCTTCTCCGGCGACTGCTCCGATTCCGACGACTATTCCAGCGACCATTCCGACGACTATTCCGATCACAGATTTATGATTTAATTAGTCACATATTATTTTTCAGTCACAAATAATAATTTTTATACGTCACATATTATTTTATGGTCACAGTTCAAAAATTTTATAGGTCACATTTAATTCGTTGGTTACAGATTTCAAAATTAGTTGGTCACAGATCAAAATTTATATGTCACACGGTCACGGATTTCCAAATTAGTTGGTTACAGATTTTTTACGGTCACAGATTATATAATTTTTAGGTCACATGTAACAAATTGGTTGGTCACGGATTATATTTTTAGTCACAAATTACCAAATTTTGGTCACATACGCCGAATAGTGGGTCACATACCACCACCGCATGTGACCACCCTCACCTCGGCACCACCACAACAGCACCAACGCCACACCGCCACCACCACCACCGATGAAAGCCGCCACTCTACGGCGCCACCACCAACAAAACTGTCACATATTCCTTTTCAACGCACATCACCAACAAAAAGTCTATGAGGTTTTCAACGCACATCACCACTCCGGATCTGAAAATCGCCACCACCAACACCTCAAAAAACACCATCCAAAAACCCTAAACCAATCCGAAAATCACAAAACAACCAACCCACCACCAACACCTCCATCACCGCCAAATCCACCACATCCAACCACATATATATCTCACAGTGTCGATCTGAAAAGCGTCTCCAACGCCACTTGTACCACCACACTATCATCGAACATACAATCGCCGCCACCGTTTCGCTGTACAGACCGCCACTGCTCCGCTTCGTGGCACAGATCGCCGTTGCAGAGGCTCCGCTTTGCTATTGAAGATCGTCGTTGCAGATCGCCAGACATCCACTGCTCCGCTTCGTGGTACCGCTTCGCTGTTGTAGATCGGAGGGTGGCGTGTCTTGCTGGACCAAATGGAGAAGAGAGATAGAAGAGAGGCCTCGCCCACTCTTGATCTGCAACAGCGTGTGTCTTGCCGGATAGAATGTAGAAGAGGGATAGAATAGAGTGTCGACGCATCCCCATCTTGAGTGGAGAGAGAGAGAGAGACGAGATATTTAGAGAGAGGGGGTTTGGAAGAGAGAGAGAAAGGGTTTGGGAGACGATATTGAGGAAACTGGTTTAGGGTTAATTATAGGACCTGATTTTTGCTTAATTTAAGTTTGTACCTGATTTTTGCAAAGTGATCTTTAAGTACCTGTTGTTTTGTAATTTCCTCCCTCGACTAATCCCACGGGGCCTTAAAGTTTACGACCGGGTACTCACCTCAATAGCTCTGAAGGGAAAATTTTATGAAACCATTGGAGAGAAGAGCATCTATAAAATACATAATCTCACATTAGAAGTTTATGAACCCATTTGAGATAAGTGCATCTATAATATGACCATGACATCCAATAGTTTTTTATGGGTCTTTGAATTGTAATCTATGAGGTCCATTCATGAGGTTAAACTTTTTTAAACGAAAAAAAGAAAAAAAAATCAGGAAAACCACCAAACTGCGACTAGTTCATCGATTTACAGTTGAACCGACCAGTTCAGNTCATCGATTTACAGTTGAACCGGCCAGTTCAGTGGGTTTTGAGCGGTTTTGTCATAATAAGTTAGCTGGGCATGATTTTGCCCGATTTTGGGTCCAAATTTTATTTTATCGTGTGGTTTAGAACATCTTTTAATGTACAAGTTCATTGAAAAAAAAAATTCAGCCCAACCTTATATATTTTCTGGCTCCGCTTACTGCTCAAATCTACATTACGAGCAAGCAAAAGTTTAAAGCCGACGAGCAGAGTAACAGTGACAAAGCAATTCCCACCTGCGCAAGTCTTGCTACTAAGTGCCATCTGAGCACCATTGACATGTAGCAGCAGGAAACAACTGTTGGAATAATTGGAATTATTTATAGCGTGAATGGGAATATGTCTCCAATATTAGGTGTCTCTTCAATTATAAAGAGTTATGTTGCTTCTGGATGTTACTATTTAAAAGGTATACGATGAAAATTTGTATATTACACTATTTAATGTGAAAATGTATGATCTATGTTAAGAAATACAACCTGCCAATGACAAGGTGTATACTACACGATTTAATGTGAAAATGTGTGGTCTATGTTAAGAAATGCAACATTTGAAAATTTATAAATAGAGACCTTTAGTTCTATTTTTTTCTTCACCAAATCAATTCAAATTATTATTGATTTCTAATTCTCTTCTTTCTTCAAAAATTACATTCCTTTTGTTTTGCTAAAATAAAATTCTATTAAAATTAGTTTCAGAAATAAAATTTCGTTCAAATTTTTAATTCGTGTCTATTACATTCAAGATGAATATTGTCTATACTTTGGTTCAAATGGTGTGCTATATTAATTTTAAAAGAAGCGTTGTATTTTGAGAGACGGACGTCCATTTGATTTCAATAGCACCATTGCAGGGACGAAGTCTGTTTAAAGGAGATTTACTTTCGCATACCTCACTTCCTTTTATCTCATATTTTCGCATTTTGAGTAAGGCCCTGTTTGTCTCCTATTATTTCAAAATATAGTTTGCTACAGTAAAATTTTCTACCACACATTCACCCAATAAAATATTCTACACACAAATCATTAAAATTGCTTTAAATTTCAACCACACATTCTCTAAAAAATACTATTCATTACTTCATTTATTCTACAATAATGGGAGACAAGCACACACTAAATAGTGATTTGTTCATTATTATGCATGTACTATGAATATGATTTAGTAAGTCGTTACTCAAGTATTTGCAAGTACGTATTTTTAATTAACGGAAAAAAATTCATGCACTAATTTATTCAACAATTTTAAGACGAAGTTTCTCTAGCTAATTTATATTCTAAAGAATAGTTCACGCACCTAATATATTCTACTTGTTTAGCATTAATCATCACACATGCATATCAACGTAGCAACATTTCATGCATGGAATACAAATGATTAATGTATAAATATTATAATGCGTTCAACCTTAGAATTATCAAGTTGACTCTCGGCATGAATTAAATTTATTTTTTTTAAGCTTATTCGAAAGTGCTTACTTCAATCGTTACATGTATCGGGTTGTGTTCCTGGAAAGGTTGTTGTTTCATATTCAACAATTAAATTCATATGTAAAAGAAACTTTTTATTGTGTAATTGTCTATTAATTCTACTTTGGCAATAAGTTTATTATGACATTGTCATCATATGGGTTTAATTATGGAGAAGAGCGTGACTTTGTAGCAGCCTTATAAGATAAAAAGACACCAATATCATATTTTATATTAAAAACAAATGATATGCCAGGGTAGTAGTCTTTAAGGCTCCGTTTGATACACAATATTTTCTATGGAAAATAGAAAGAAACTTTCATTTTCCAATTTTTGTAGTGTTTGACATGGAAATTGTAAGGAAATTGATTCCTTGGATTCGAATTGAAGATTCCTCAGCAGCTGCAAAAGTATTCCAACAGATTGGAGCCTTTAACTACCTATTTCAACTGCCATTGTTGGTTAGAATCTTCAACCAACTTGGAGCCTTGTTGGTTGGTAGTTAATAACCGAAATGGAGCCTCAATTGAGTCTATAAATAGGAGCCTCAGGTTCTGGAAAAAGGCAACTCGAAAATGAAGATGTAGAGCTCGAAAACGCTGGTAAAGAAGGGATGAAGAGCTCTGAAAATCTGGTAAAGGAGGAGCTCAAAAAGGAGAGTGAATCTCTGCAAAAAGGGAGCTCTGAAAGTGGGCTATGAAGCAGCTCTGGATGAGGGAATTCGATAGAGAATTCTGGAGCTATAAATAGAGAGCTTGAGACTGGTAAAAGTCTGTAGAGAAATAGGATATTATTTCTCTGGAAAGTAGAATTCTGGAGTAGGAAGTGTAGATTGGGGAGGAACTAATCTGGAAATTCTTTCTACCGATTCATGTAGTTGAATGTTAAGTTTCTTGTTAATAAAGAGGCTTGAGGAAGAGGTTTTCTTCCTATTTAATTTCCATTTTCTGCTGTCATTTTCTGCTGGTTTTCTTTCCTGTTGTAGCACATCTGTTCTTGGTTATTCTTCTTGCTGGTTTATGTCTCTGCTGTGATTGAATGAAGTAATCAAAGCCCAACAGAAAATATTTTCTCTTTCTCTCACACGTGCACATTTTCCTTGATTTTGTTAAAAATAAATGTTGAAAGTTTGGTGTCTATTTGACTTTATTTTTACAGGTGGAAAATTATACAAATCAAACACAATTTATTACAATGCCCAGTAAAAAATTTCTAGGCAATTCAATTCTCTAGAATTCATTTTCTTTCCACCCATTTTCCACATTTGCAATCAAACGGATCTTAAATTTTCAGTTTCAAGGAAAGAGAAGTGACTTTTTGGACGTTGATTATATGAAAGGTTGTCTATATCTAGATTGAAATTTACTGGAATATTTAGAAAAAATGTGTTGACATGGTTTGGAACTTCTAATCCACCTTGGATAAAAACCACTATTTATCTTCCTTGACAGTGAAGAAGTATTTTTGCAGCCACATTTATTATATTCATTTTGTTAAGCATCGATTGCATGACCGTGGGCCTCTGCACATAGTATAAATATAAATGACAAGTAAGGTACAAAGCTATCATTGACCAGACTTTTGGAAAGATGTCATTTTGTTAGGGAGAAGTTGGTCTAGTGGGTATCAAGCCAATCCATCATCATATGTTCTCCAATTTCGTGAATTGTTCAAGGATGCGTCAATATCAATCTCTTGTAGTTGCACTTTCGTGAAAAAAAAAAAAAAGAACCCAGCAACAATCACTTGTTACCTTGTGATGGTAGCTAAGTCGTTGATGAAGCTGCAATGAATAAAAGTGGCTTTTCATTTTATGGATTAGTCATCTTATGAACATGAAAGTGTGTCAATTTTCACGTGATATTGGCATTCCTAGTCATTTTATATGTTGACTAGGGATGGAATGAAATTATTTATCCAATTGATAGACATAATTAACGATACAATCGAACTTGAAAATAGTAAATGAATATTATGTTGCCAAGTTCGGTCTTATTCAGAATTGTGGGAGTATGATTGTTTGCATAATATTCTCAATTGGTGTTTGGATACATTCAGATTTGTGGGGAGGGAGCAGGGGCATTATTTTCTTCAAATTTGAATACCTTGTTAAACTTTAGATGCACACGATGTTGAAAATTGGATATCCGATGTAATGATTCAAAATCTACTAGTAAATATGTTTTACTATTGAAAGTGCAGTTATTTCGTGAAAATCCTTTGTAAAACTTGAGAATTGAAAGAAATTAGAGATTTCAATAAAGTTAGAATTAAGCATGACAACTTCAAAGACTTTGGAATGATTTTCTAATTTGTGACAATTTGTGCTTGTTATATGATTTAATTGAGATTGCTAGCTACAAATCACATGGTAAAAAATGTAGTGTATAATTGTAAGTCTTGACATCAGCCATAGACATAATCCTATTTGGCAATTGCTCTCAAATTAAATAATACTGGTTGTTTTATTGAAGGATAACCTAATGGATCCTTTTATAAATGGGTTATTTAGAGAGAATAAATTGCGCATCAAGAGAAATGTGTGTAAAACCGAAACTAATGGGTCAACTTAATGGAAATCTAACCTGGAAACTGGAGATTCTACAGGCTAAGTTCAATAGAAAAACTAGTTATGATGAATTCGATGAGAAGCACTTCAGAGCTTTAACTCCTCTTCGTTCTATGATGCAAATAAGCTGCCTAAAATTAGTTAGAATAAGCTATGCTTTTAATGATGATTATATCTTGTAAACAGTGCAAGCAAAGTATTATAGTGTACTCTTTATAGAATATCACATATGTGAGTGCGAACTTGGCCGATTCAAATGAGAATTTTACTTAGGCAAATTCTCTAATGACTTGCAGAACCCAAGAGAGTTCAAGACCGAAATAATGAACACAATATAGAACTAAAGTTTGATATGAAAAATAAAGTGTTGGATCTATTGTCTAGGCTTGCAATACCTGCTAACAGTTCAAA